TGCCAAAGCGAGCACATCCACAAGAACTTTTGGGAGCTGTGAGGGCACCGGAGAAGATGGCACAGCAAGACACAGGCCTTCCATTCCTTAGTCAACCAGGTTCAGCCACCAAAGAAAAAAGTCACCTAACCTCACAATCCCTGTCCTTCCCTCCTAAAAACCTAATCTTGAGTCAATGAACCCATCTCCCACGCAGGAGGGGGCTGTGTCTGGTGCACTTGTGGTTCCTTTAAACCGTAACCCACTTGACAAATGGTGACACTGCACGTGGACAACCTCTGGCCCCTACTCACCCTCTCGTCCAGATCGCTTTCTGCATCACACTGGAGAGGAGGAGAGACAGAAGTGTCACAAGAGAGGAGAGAAGCAGGGCCCAGGGTAGAGGGGACTTTCAGAGAGGGCATGAGAGGGGAGGTGCCCGCAGAGGCCCACAGCACTTACTATGTATCCAGCTTCCAGAGAGTGTCGGGACGAGGCCTGAGAAAGACCAGAGTCCAGAGGTGAGGGAGGCTGATGGGCAAGGCCTTTGGATAAAGTCCAAAATCCCCAGCAAGGCACCCAAGGCCCCTTGACAACTACTCTCAACACTTCTGCTTACTTCCCACCCCCATACTTCACAGACTCAAGTCTCTGTGCTCTTGTACAAAACAACCTGGATCCATTTACCCTCCTAGTAAATGCCTTCTTACTGTCCCTCGCTATGACATCTTAGGGGGCTTTCCCTCACCACACCACACCCCCCTCTTCCAGGCAGTGAGGAGGCTTCCTCATGTGGGTTTCTGTAGCATCTCTCACAGCTCTCTGCCTTCGGGAACTTCTCAGGTTCCACTCTGGGTGTCTGCTAACTACTTCTTCCCCCTGCCAGACTGTCACCACCTCGAGGGGAGGGCAGGGACCACGTTCCACTCGCTCACATCTCCGGTGATTCAACTCCTTTAAGCCCTTGGAGGCATCTCTCAATTGTCAACATGTTCGAGGCAGGCTTAGTGCTGGTCCAAAGCAGATTAGGAAGGCTGAGCGTGGACTAACGTGTCGGAAGCTGGAGCCTAGTGCCCCTCTCTGCCCCTCGGCCACTAGGACGGGTCCCTGCTCCCCCCCCCC